CTTTTTTGCATGCGGGTGTCGTGGGGTTTGTAGCAAACAGGTACGGGATGCGTAGGGAAGCGCTCTCGGTGTATATTTAGCAAATCCTTTTGTATGCGAGACTGTGCTGCACGCTTACTGCTCAGCACCAGATCCTTAGGGTGCCAGGCGTATAGAAAGTCCTCGTATTTCTTCGCTCGTATGCGTTTGCGCAGTGTTTTGCATTGCTCGGCGTCACTGAGGCCCCTTAATTCCGCTTTCAGGTTTCTTACTTGATCCTTACTGCGGTAATCTGTGTTGATTTCCTCCGCATGGTCTATGAAATCTTTCAGCCATTCGTGGGGCATCTCTCCGGCTATTGGAGGAGGCTGGCAGGGATCTCCGGCGAATATTACTTGACACTTTCCACGGAGGAATTCTACGAATTCTTTGAGGATTTCTAAAGGAACGGTGCAAATCTCATCCCAAAGTATCACCGGAGGTATGTCGTGGATAGCTTCAGGTACCCACTTTTGGCCATTCCAACGAAAGAAGCTGTGGTACGTTTGAGCGTCGTGGCCCATTTCGCAGAGTTCTCTTTCCAAACGATGCGTTAGAGTTAGCACTTTTAAGGCCGGAAAGAGTTCTAACACACGCGTCGTCTTACCGCTGCCTCCCGTACCGTAGAGGTAAGAGAAGCGTTGGTAGGAAATGGGGTCGGCAACTGAAGGTAGAGGCTCTTTGGTAGGCGTTACGGTGCCCTGGGTGTGCAAGGCACCGGAGGTGCCCCCGTGATATTCTACACGTGCCCTCCAAGACCTTATTTCTTCATCTTTGACGCGCCATTGGCCACTTTCTGCGAGTTCATCGGCAGTGTAGAATTCCTTCATCTTTTCCAATACGTGCGGTTTCACGTATAAGGAATCCGTGGCTACGCGTGGAATGTCTTCTTTGTCAAACCGCAAGAGCATTGCGAGAAGGTTAATGTGCGCATATGCGAGCATGCTGGCACGCAGATGGTAATACTGTGGTCGATGGTCCTGGTAATAACACAGCGCATTCCATTTGCGTTCTTTTTGCTCGGCTTCTATGAAATAGTCCCACTTCTCCACGGACACCATCGTTCCTTGTTCATGGGCACGCTTGATGAGGAAACTTAGTTCGCCTTCGTCTGTTATTAGGCGTCGCTGCATATGTTTTTCACCCTCCTTAGCACCTTGCGTGAACTTTCCTATGACAATCCTCGCGGTGGGGTTGTGTTCTGGCAACCACTTCGTGTAGGCGCTATGGCAAAGTATGGCTTCATGCGCGGTGTAGGTGAGTAGTTTACGTTCTTCGAGGAACTTCAGTAAGGGCACAGGCATCCATTCTTTCTCCTGCAAATGCTTTCCATACCATGCGTAAATTATTGGATGCAGGCCCTTTGCTAACTTCCAAGATGTTAGCCTGACGAACCCCGTTGCTGGCGCGTCGTAGCTGCCGTCTAAGGACACACGAAAGAATTGCGAGTCTGGATGCCCGTATCTATCATAATATTCCTTACAATCCCCCAGGCCTTTAAATGACGCAGGATAGCAGTGCTTCATGTCTAAGGAGACGTATTCGTCTTCGTCGTACTCCATGTTCCACAAGCCGCCGTGGCCGTGTTCTACGCACGCTTTAGCTATGTCTCCGAACTCTTTTGGGGTGGGTTTCCAGCCGTTTCTCTTCTTGGCAGCTAAGAAGTCCAAGCTACGGGAGCTCAGGACCTCGTCCGAGAAGTCTTCGCCCAGGGTCTCGCACGCGCTCTGGATGCGCTGGTGTTCAATCTTGGGCCGGTAAAGAGTACCGTCTTGCGTCATGAACTGACTTCCTTCCGAATCCATCAACCATATTGAGTTCTCATGAATTAAGTTCACCAACGGCGAGGCCTCGTAGACCTTCGTTTCTTTCTTCTTTGGGAACCGTAGCTCTCGCCACGCGTGCCCGTTGTRCTGGTAGATGACTATGGGCGCACCACGGCCGCCGTACTTATGGGTCCCGGGGTAAATAAACCCGTCCGTGATGTCCTTGACGTGTATGCGCCTTTCTAAAGCAACCTCCAGCTTTTTGATGTTGTCTATCGTTGCTCCGGCCCTACGCGTGGCATGCTCCCATTTCCTGATGGCTTCTCTTCTCTTCAACGTAAGCTTACCACCACGAGAGGAATCCTCAAAGAACTC